CCTTCCCCGTCGGCCCTGCGGATGTCTCCGTGTCCCCCGCCACGGGTGTCAGTGCTGACGTGGCCCGTGGGTATCGCCACGGCCGTGTCCTCTGAGGCATCACCACAGGCGTGGACCCATGCTGTGGCCAGGTCTGTCATGCACCTCACTACGGCTTCGTCCCTGTGGGCGCTGCCATGGCTGTATCCCTTGCGTGCACCTTGTTGTGGCAGTGTCCCCATGGGCATCACCACGGCCATGGCCGCGGCCCTCACGCAGCTCACCATGACTGTGTCCCTGTGGGCATTGCCATGGCCATGTCCCTTGTGCCCACCACACCGTGGCTATGTCCTGGTGGGCTTTGCCCCAGCCATGTCCCTTGCACACACCTTGCCATGGCTTTGTCCCCATGGGCATCATCACAGCCATGTCCCTCACACAGCTTGCCATGGCTGTGTCCCCACAAGCTTCTTTGCAGCCCTGTCCTGATGAGCCTTCTTGCAGCCATGTCCCCCCCACTGGCATCCCCATGACTATGACCCCAGTGCCTGTTGCAGCCTCTGATCCTCCTGTGAGTGTGTCCTCACATGCTGCTGCCAGCTCCTCTGCATGCTTCACCATGGCCGTGTCCTGCACTCATACCACCATGGTGGTGTCCCCTGTGGGCATCATCACCTCCCTGTCTCGGCGCATGCCTCAGCACAGCCATGTCCTGGCTTCGCTCCTGCAGAGCCTGCAGGCAGCTCGGCTTTGAGGCTAGAGAGGAGTTTCTTGCCTCCTGAAAACCAGACAAGCTCTCCCAGGTCACCAAACCTGGGGAGTTGGTGGTTCCTGGGCAACTTGGCTTGTTCCCTCCTCTCTTCCCCACTTGTCAAATCAGGGTGGCGGTGTTGGGGGCTGTAGGACGTTTTTCAGCCCTAATCTTTTTGAATTAAGACCTGATCCAGCACTTAACTGGAGAGCCCCAGAGGGCAGGTTTGTGCTAGAAAAGGCATATACCTACCCAGCGTGCAGGCAGGTGCCTCCCCGAGTCAGCTCTTTTCTCGGGGTTATGAATATTGCCTTGACACAAGAAACAAACTGCACTTTCACACCAGTATGGCTGCACACATGCTGGGAGTTATGCCGATGCATGGAGCTCTCCCTTTTATCTCTGCTGCACTAACAGAAGAGATTGTGCAGATCCCATAAAGACTAAGAGGAGCTTGGAGCGGGTTCGCTTACTATCCCCTGTGCTTAGATTTTTCACTAGAAACACATCCCTGAAAGGAACAGAGTACTTCTGCAACTGTGATGTTTTCACTCTTTCGCATGAACCCCAAGAAGCAGATGGACCCTTTTGGCCTCCCAGCAGAGGTGGCAGAGTGGGTAATCCTGCTGCTTAGCATGTCCCAAGGCTAGCGGGGAAAGATCCCAGCTACGAAGAGAAGAGATTCAAGGGGAAGCATGATTTAAAGTCAAGCTATTGCTCTGTTAAAAATTCCTGTTTATTTATAAAAATATCTACAATCTGAGTGAGGGTAAAAGTTTGCAGGACCCGCTTCTCATCCTACAAACAGGCTTTCATTAGCATTCGCAGCACAGGCACAGCTCCTCTGAAACTTGGAAGGTCACCGCAGAGCAGCCTGTCTCTCACAGTTGTCCCAGGAACCCTGCCACCCATGGGACAGTTTATTTGTTCAACAGGGTGACACATGTGTGTGAAACTTGGCACAGGGAGGACAGGAGGACCCGTGCAATAGGACTACTGGAAAATTGCTGGCAGGAAGGGGCCTGGCCCCGAGCCCGGCCGGTGTGTGCGGGGCAGGGGGCTCACTCTGGCGGTCAGCAGGCTCTGGATCAGCTTCAGCTCAGCATGAGAAAACTTTAAAGCCCAGCGTAAGCATCACCTCAACTGAGCTTGACGGTGTATAAATATACCACTCAGCATCCTACATAATTCTTGCCCTAGGTTAATTAGGGAAACACTTAACAGGCAACGAGATTTTTCTATAGAAGGCTGTTGGCAGGGAGACGCACTGCAGAGGGTTGGCTAGCATCCTGTGTGAGGTCCTTCTGACAAACAAACTGTGGTGTGTGGTGTTCAGGAGGAGGTGCCAAGAGCTGGTTTGGGAAGACATCCCTACTCTGGAAAGCACTTGGGTCTGCTCTTAATTTTAAGCAACTAATGAAAGTGAAGTGCTGTATGTAAGCGTCTTGCTTTGCCTCCCCAGCGCATTTACTACCTGTCCCTGGAGTTCTACATGGGCCGCACCCTGCAGAACACCATGGTGAACCTGGGCCTCCAGAATGCTTGCGACGAAGCCATTTACCAGGTGAAGTCTTGGGGTACCAGGGTCCCCCTAAGGAACTGGCCAAACTTTTCCACACGGAGGGCTGGGTATCTTTATTTCTCAGGGCTTCCTCCTCAGGATGTGTTATTTTGACTAAACAAAGCGAAGCTTGTCTCTCTGTTAGTGTTTTTCATCCCTTAAAGAAGACCATAGTGGGGACCTTGGGGTTCCTTGAGAGTTGGAGTATGGTTTTATCAAACCACTGTTTTCCTGTAGTGGCTGGGAAAATCCAGAAAGCAATATCCCAAAAGACTAGGGAGTCCTAGGCTGCAAATAGGTTTCCATTACTATGAGAAATGATGGCTCATCATGGGAGATGTAGTCTAATGGGGGAGGCTGGGCCAGAAGGGGAAACTGGAGCAGCAAAACACCAAATGACAGTTCATACATGCAGGTACACAAGGCACCGCAGAAGTACTGCCAGATAAAAGTGAATCACTGGGAAGGAAGGAAGGGGGGAACTAATTTGCTTGAATTAAAATGTCATCGGATGAGTTCAAACTGGAAAAAACACAGCTGAGTACCACCAAGGCAATCACAAATGTGAGGCCATGGTTACTTAGGTTTGCAGCCACCTCTGCAGCAGGACAGTGACCTTTTTGACAGAGTATGAGTTTTTGGGCTTTTTCACCCAAAAGTTTTATTTTACCCCTTCCTCTTCCCCCCCCACTCCCCCAGATTGATCCGTGTTACACTTTCTAGTGGAAGTTGGGCTCTGTCACTGTCTGTCAAAATGAGGTGCTGTGATTGCAGATGAAACGTCCTGGCCAGCCCTTTCCCTGCCAAGGAATGGGAAGGGATTTCCAGGGAGGGACCCGATACGTTTCCTCTCTGAGGTATCATGCCTTGGAGGGCAGACCGTTTTTTTTTCAGCGAGCATCCTCAAGTCCCTTCGCAAGGCATTTTTCATGTGCTGATTAGGCCCAACATGCAAGTGGAGGCTTCCCTCACTGTAGCCTCCAACAATGTAGAGCTCGTCATGGCTAGTGGCCAGCTGGGATGGGAGGTGTCATATCCAGAATGGCTCTGTCACTGAGAGAATTCACCTCGGTTTTCATGACATGACTCCGTCACGCTGTGAAAGAGGCTTTCGTGGTTTCTGATTGCAGACCAGTGAAGCGCTGGGAGAGCAGTTTGGGGAGCAACCATGGTGTCAGCCTGACTCCCTGCTGTCCCCCCTGGCACAGAGGTGAAATACTGCTGCCCTCTGAAAGGCAGTATCTCTTGACTCTGGAGAGTCCTTGCTGCTGGCACGCTTAGCCTTCATCTGGCAGCAGCCCCCGGGCCGGAGAACAAACGGCCCAAGAGATGCAGCAGAGGAGACAACCAATTCCAGCCATGGGCTCTGGCCAAGCTGCTCGGTGGCAGGACGCAGGAAGGCACAGAGCATAACTGCGAATGCTGCAGTAACCAGCTACCCGTGTGGTCATGCCCCTCCTCAAGGACCAGGCGGCTGTGAGCAGCGGGGCAGCGTGCGTACCCGGGCAGGACTCAGCAGTCACTTGCGCCCTGACTTGGCCGTTCACCATCCTGTCTCCAACAGCAAGTTCGGTTGGAAGGGCCTCCTGGCGCGAGGAGCTGCCAGGAGACGAGTGTTTTGTTTGAGGTCTCTAAGGAAACCTAGTTCATGGGAAAGTGACGTTTGATGATGAGCTAAATTGTTTTCCAGTTAATTGGGCTGCCCAGGGGCCAGAGGCTGGTGAGATGCTTTGTGGAGAGGGTCAGGTCGGGGGATGCAGAGAGTCCTGTGGATTTAATTTCGTGTTGTTTTGGGATCTACGTTTGCCTTCCTCGGAGAGCAGCCCCAGGGCGTGGGCTGCGGGTGCTTACATGTTCTGCTGTGGCTCTTTCCCCAACAGCTGGGTTTGGACTTGGAGGAGCTGGAAGAAATCGAAGAAGATGCTGGGCTGGGAAATGGAGGCCTGGGCCGCCTGGCAGGTAATGCAGGGAGAGGGGAGCCCCCTCCTTGTGCAGAGTGCACGGGGACCAAGGCTGGTCTGGCCGGAGGCTGTCAAGCCTGCAGTGGGACAGGATGCAGACCTTCAGCGCGCATCCGCCCTGCAGCCCTTCAGCAGCGTCGTGCCCTCTTGCCTGCCCCTGGCTGGCTAGAAACAAGCCCCCTCCCCAGTGAGAGCATCTAGCAGATGTAGTTGTGTAGTCTGCAGCGCAGCAGGTGGGGCTGCAGCTGAAAGAGGAGCCTTTCTCCTCACCTCCCTGTGAAATCTCTCACTTTTCAGAGGCGCCCAAGCAGCTTCTCATGTTGTAGCCAGATTGTTAGCTGCTATTTTAGTCTGCCTGTCCCATGGGCTGGAGGTGAGAGCTCCACAATGTAGAGGAAATGCCCAGGGCTAATCTTTACCAGAGCTGCCCCAGCAGCTGAGGGTTGGAAGGGTTTGCCTTGAAAGCAATAATAGTGAAATAGCTGGTGGGGCAATGAGTCGGGGGTCAGAAGCCCTGCATTACCCAGCAGGCAAGCGTAGAGCAAGGTGTGGGCACCTCGGGCAGGAACTCTCACTGTGACAAGGCTGGATTTGGGTTTTTGGTGACTTGTCACCAAAAACTTTGGGATGTTCGTGGTGGCTCAGCAGGATGTGCATGGGGTCCTGCTGCAGGATGTCCCCATGTGTCCCTTCTGCACGTGGATTTCCTCTGAGTAATAAGTGTTTCCAGTGGCATTGGGGCATTGGTTGTGGCAGTTCCTCACCCCTGTGCACAGCATGCCATAGCAAGTGCAGCAAGCGAGGGGTGAGGTTCCTTGCAGTGTGACCATGCTCTGCTCTTCCAGCTTGCTTCCTGGACTCCATGGCCACCCTGGGGCTGGCAGCGTATGGTTACGGCATCCGCTATGAGTTCGGTATCTTCAATCAGAAGATTGTTGATGGCTGGCAGGTACATTGACAAACTCAAGTCACCCTTTCTCCTTCTATTTCAAGCTGCAGTAGCTGCCTCTACCTGTGGACAAAGCCCAGCTAAACAAATAGCACTGCGGTGCCTTGGGCTGTTCATAAACTGGGTGTTTGACCCCACCACCAGATGCCAAATGAGCTGTCACTTCCTACTGCTTGTGCTGACCCTAGGGCTCTGACTGCCTGAGCAAAAAGAAATTATGAGGGCGGTGGGGTGCGTGCGCAGCAGACACTGACCCAGGGACACACTGACCCAGCTCATCCACACCAGTCACCAACCTGGCAAGTTGGTGTCTGAGCTCAGCCCACAGGGCATGGCTGGAACCAGAGGTCTAACTGCCCAGGGCTTCACAGCACAGCTGCAACAACCCAGGAGTCCCATCCAGCCTGGTGGTGAGTGGGCAGGAGGTCAGGCTTAGAATGGAGATGTGGCTAAACACTTAATGAAGGTGTCTGGTGGAGGTTGAATTTGAACATGATGGAACACGTGCAAGTGCCTGGGGTGCTGCTGCTCCTGCAGGTTCCCTGGGAGACTGGCAGCAGGGACTTAAACAGGGACTCTCCTGTAGCAATCATGATCATAATATTTTGCAAATGAAAACAGGCTAAAAAACTGCCCCACCTGGCAGTTTTCCCTAGTTTATGTCTGGAAATGGTTTCCATTAGGAGTCTTGCCTTGCTTCTGAGCATAAAGGACCTTTTTTCCCCTTAAAATAGCTCTCCATAACTCAAGGAGGGTGAGAGGTTTGAGGGTTGTTTTTTCCTCCTTCCCCACAAAGAAGCTGCAATGCTAGGCCCTATAAATGGTGAAAACGGGAAAAAGCATCCACTAATTGGCTTGATGTTACTTAAAAAAAGAACAGGGGTGGTGGCGATGCTGGGCTGTAGCTCAGACCTGCCCCTGCCTGGCAGAGAAATGCCTGCAGGCACAAAGCATCTCTCCAAGTGCCCCTCTGGTTTCTGGTGCGCATCAGCCTTGGTTGCTCTGCTGAATGCCCTTCACTCCCGTTGGTGCTGTTATGAGCAGAGAGGAGAAATCCTCTCTGGCAGAGGGCAGAGCAGTTAGCAAGACTTGGGTCACATGGAGTGGTTTGTGGCCAGGAACAGCACCAATGGGCTTCTAGGGAACCACATCCCATATATCCTGCTATCACGGTCGAACTGGATGTAAAGCCCTTGAGACAGACTGAATGCAGGGGTCTGTGCAATTTGGATGGTTTAAACCTGTACAGCTCTGCAAAGCCCATAGAGGCTGATTATTATTATAATGAAAATAATGAAAAGTTTCAAAACTTTTCATCCATGTTTTGAAAAGTCCAGCTGTCTTCTAGAGGCCTCTTCATATCCTTTTTTAAAGCCAGCTTACTAAAGCTTTGCTTTTAAACTGGCCTCCGTTTGGAGAGCCTAGTTTAGCCTTCACTTGGAGAGACAAGCCATCACTTGAACCCCATTTGCCTCTTGCAGGTGGAGGAGGCCGATGACTGGCTACGCTATGGCAATCCCTGGGAGAAAGCTCGCCCAGAGTACATGCTCCCTGTGCACTTCTACGGCCGTGTGGATCACACCCCTGAGGGTGTGAAGTGGATCGACACCCAGGTACCAACATCTCTGTCGGTGCTGGGCTGGGGGACGGTGGGCCAGGGTAGTGTGGAGGGGGAGAGACTGTCCCCAGGCTGCATGAGGTCAGACTTCCCTTCTCTCCCAGTCTGGCAAAACTTTCTCTGCCACCCTTGCAATTATGAAGGTGACTTCGTTGGCTACAGCTGCAGCTGGATTTGAGGAAAAAGAGGGATGATATTCAGTCATAGCTGCAACTTCAGTTGGGGATGCCTTCTCTACTGATCACCAGGGTGAAGCCACACAGTCTTGCATGGATTTATGTTGGAGGAGGACTGTATCCCTGGCAGCTGTGCTAGGCTCCCTCCACACTGCTCCTGGCTACCGCTCGCTCAAACCCAGGGGTTTTGCAGGTGGTTCTGGCACTGCTGCTGTGAGAGGAGTTTCATCTGGTGGGGTGGCCATGGAGCAATCCCGTTGGTGTTTAATTCCTGTGATCAGAGCAAGTTCCTTTTTCCCAGACCAGCTTGACAGGTTGAGTGCTGTCAGGGGAGGCTGGAGGCATGGTTTCAAGTCTCCAGTCTGCCTGGAGGCCTTGTTTTGTGGCATCGTGGAGAGCAAATGCTTCTTCAGCCTCCCAGAGTTGAGGAGGTAATGCAGTGCTTCAGGAGCACATGCCTGCTCAGAGCACAGGCTGCTGCATTGTAAATGCATCCCAGTCTTACAGCTGAAGAAGGCAAGCTTTAAAGAAGCACAGATTTATTAAGAAGATTGAAGATGTTTCAGCTTCTCCTGTCTAAGCACTCTCCAGGATGGAAGAAAGAAACACTATGAATATCTCTGGGATTCAGGGACATGATCTAGCCTTATTCCCATGATGTTCAAGGGTCTTTCAGCCTGATGAACCAGCTCTGTCCATTGAAGGAGCATACAGTCATAAAGTCAAGCCATTCTCTTCAACACTAAGAGGTGAAGCCCAGTTGCGGAATCGCCTGGGCCTGCTCAGAGGCAAAATAAACCAGGTCCTTTTCCAGGGTCCCTGGTTGTCAAAGGCTGTGCAGTGACCTAGGCCATTCCCAGGACAGACAAGTGCAGGGGTTCAACACCACAGCCCTGTGAACAGTATGGAGGCACCGTGCCAGAGCTCTCTGGGGAAGCAGACATCCACTTGCGGACTGAGTACCATTGCACATAACATTGTACATACACACAGTACAGTGTGCTCCTCTTCTGACCCCAGCGGTAGTCCCAGTTTTCAGGGATCCCAAGCAGTGCAGTGGAAACATTGCTTCCTACAAGGAGGTGAATTTTCAGATAGTACCATTAAGGGAACAAGTTGGAAAGGCTCAAAGCAGCCAAAAACACAGTGTCCAAATATAGCATTGCTCAGTTCATGTGATGTGTGCCGCAGTCCCATGGCTCAGGCAGGGCAGGCTTTCTGCCTGCTTCCATGTTCGGAACTGGCAATAGCAGCTTTGAGAGCCTGAGCTCTTGCTGATTATTTCCAGAGGGGAGGTGTTGCTGACACCAGCACGAAGAGGCTATTTCAGGGCCAACATGCTGATCTGCCTGGGTTTTCCTTGCCCTGTGAGCACAGCTCCTGGGGACAGCCTCTGGCTGCTGG